GGCGAAAGTCGACTTTCCCCCTGGAAAAATCCAAGATCTGACACTGGCCCCCGGTGAAAAATTTTTTTTTCCAGTCTTCACTTTTTCCACCTACTTTTGATAGTTCTGAATAGCCCGTTGCTCAAATAGTTTGAATCCACGTTCGCCCGGCTAAAAAATTCGATTTTGGCGGAAGTTTACTTTCCCGTTGGAAAAATCCAAGATCTGACCCTTTGGCCCTCGTGACCCTTGTGACCCTTTGACCGACTCTTCCCTTGAAAAAATCCAAGATCTGACACTTTGGCCCCCGGTGAAAAATTTTTTTTTTCAGTCTTCACTTTTTCCACATACTTTTGATAGTTCTGAATAGCCCGTCGCTTAAATAGTTGGAACCATCGTTCACCCGGCTAAAAAATTTGATTTTGGCGGAAGTTGACTTGCCACTAGCAAAACAGAAAATCTGACCCTTTGAAAATCTGAAAAAAAAACTTTTTTAGTTTTCACTTTTTCCACATATTTTTGATAGTTCTGAATCAAAAGAGCCCATGAATAGTTTTGATAGCCCATCGCTTAAATAGTTGGAACCAACGTTCACCCGGCTAAAAAATTCGATTTTGGCGAAAGTCGACTTTCCCCCTCGAAAAATCCAAGATCTGACACTTTGGCCCCCTGTGAAAAATTTTTTTTTTTCAGTTTTCACTTTTTTCATATACTTTTGATAGTTCTGAATAGCCCGTTGCTCAAATAGTTGGAATCAACGTTCACCCGGCTAAAAAATTCGATTTTTGCGGAAGTTGACTTTCCCTTTGGAAAAATCCAAGATCTGACCCTTTGGCCCTCGTGACCCTTGTGACCCTTTGACCGACTCTTCCCTTGAAAAAATCCAAGATCTGTCACTTTGGCCCCCGGTGAAAATTTTTTTTTTCAGTTTTCACTTTTTGCACATACTTTTGAGAGTTCTGAATAGCCCGTCGCTCAAATAGTTGGAATCAACCTTCACCCGGCTAAAAAATTCAATTTTTGGCGAAAATCGACTTTCACCCTGACCCTTGACCCACGTGAAAATGAAATTTTTTTTTTCATCTTTTCTGTCGCCTCCGAGGGTTTCATTGGCATTAGGGGGTCAATAAATATAGAATTACCGTTCACTATTTTTTATTCAAACACCGCCTGCAAACGGAGAGATGAGGGTTGCTAAAATATATCCTGCAACCCTCTCTCTTCGTTGGCTACAAATTTCAACCCTCCACATACATGCCTTCCCCTCCACCCCCTCGTGAAATCCCCAGGTCTCGCTAGTATAGAGGACTTCTCAAGGTCGCAAAGAACTGAGGATTCGAAAGTTCTCCGGAAACGTGCGTCGCAGAACTGAGTAGGACTGACCCGGTCAATCTAGGTCTGGAGAGATCTTGAAAGACCTGTGTACGTCCATTCAGAACCAAATCCTCGACTCGGGTGAAACATGAATAAACGAATCATAATTGTCCAAATCATTTAGGTCTGAGGAAAATAGGATAATTCTACTTTCTTAATATTGCGTTTACTAATTTTTTCTTGGAACAAAGTTGATTAGAATTAATAGCTAGAATTATGGGATTATCTCACATTTTTGACGTTAAGAATAGGAGAATCTGAATGCAATATAGTGAAAATCATGATCGATTTTTTCACTTTAAACAAATAATATTAATATCTAAATACAAAATTTCTGATGTAAATAAAAATAATCTGTGACTCAGTATTCCAAATTTTTAATTTGGTGCTGAAAATACGAGCTGACAATATTCTAAGCACGGAATTATATTGATGAGATGAACAACAGATTAATTGAATTATTACGTGAACTAACTAAAAATTGAAAACCGTGTGGCCACGCACTTTTACCAGAGTATCAACAAACATTGAATTCCAGAAATTCACCCTCTCAAGTGTGTTCTAGAAGAAATTGAATTGTAATTATGATTAAAATCTTATTCAGCGAGCCTAGGAATTAGAATATGAGCGAATAATTTATTGTAATATGAAAATTTAATCGCTGATAAATTGTGACATGACTCTGATCGGTCGTTTTGCTTCTCGCAACACCGCGATCGTTTGCGCCAGAATTCCTATTCCAGACGAATTTATTATTCTGTAAAATGAAGATCTCAATCAATAAATATTTATTCTCCCCAGCCCGATCATAATCCTGTCTACAACAGCTTGTACTCTGAATGATATCGTGAAACCTAACGGAATTATCACCAGCACACGATCGGTGGCTGGAATGACGCATCCCCGATCGCCATCTATCCCTCAACTGTGAAATTCTCTCGCTCTCCCCACACTTGTCTGATCGAGTTTTCCCGTACATCCACACGGGCTCATGTTCAATTCAGTATCTCCGACATGGAATCTCAAGCGCTGGACGCTCTAACCCCTCGTCTTTATCGTTTCTTCATCTCGCTGGAGGGGGAGTAGTGGTATTTCGATCAGTCACTGCAAATTGGTGATTTTCTGTTCGCTTGGATATTGATCGGATTCATTTGTTACGGGGTAAACTCTGAAAAATTGATAATACTCTTATTCTGTGGGATATCATTCGATCGTTATCATTGTTTTCACGTTTCACAGGGTGAGAAAAGCTCGGGGGTTGTACAACACACAAGAACAACAGAATTTCTTTATCTCTGCTCTCTCACTAATGTTTATTCGTTATTAAAATCCCTTCGTTTTTCATGACACAATCTCTTAAGTATTCAAAATCATTATTAATGTCATTGAATGTCAGTAATCTACCATCCCCTAATTTACGGAAGACCATTATCCAAATTTTTGTTCTCTTCATTTTCATATTTTGATGTGTAAACATCTCAGCCCTCGTTATCGAAACTTTGTGGTAGAGTAATCCCTGGTAAATCTCATGTAACGAAAAATCCAACGGAAGTTGCGCAGTCGACCACTGCGCATGGCGGGAATGTGATGCACACAATCATGTGTACATGTACATACTACGGATGCACTCTCGAGTAAAGGTGCTCTCGCTGTCGCTATAGTGTCCCAATGTCAATTGAAATATCTCGAAAACTATTGAGAAGTCATCGAGACATTCAGTGTGACAAATGCAGGGAATTTCATTACAAATAAATTGGTTTTCAACTAGCATCTCTACGAATCGTAGTTCTTAAGCTGGGCCAAAGCTCTTAAGCCATTTTATGCCATAGATGCCCAGAATCACGCGATTCTAACCTCGCTTCGCTCGGTAGAATCGCGGATTCTGGGCCCTATGACATAAAATAGTATACGAAACCCATTACGCACTTGTTGCGTAATATACTATTATTCATCATAAAAATCTCCTCAATAATTGTCAACCCATTTTGTCGAGCCCAAACCGCCTGATGTTGACGCATCTACGCACTCGTTATTTCTAAAAAAAACACCCCTTCCTTCCATTATATTCACCACTTGGGAATGACGAGAATCGACTTTCCCATACTTAATACAAAAAGGTCAACTAATCACAGGCCAGTAACTCACTACCCTCATTGACAATGCTTCCCACTCCGCCACGTGCACCAGCAACTCCCCCAATCCTAACAAAAAGTAGTCAAAGTCTCGGGGATAGCTGCACCCCTCCATTGCCAGTCGTTTGCACGCGTGCCGGTAATTCGTAGGACTATTTTTAGGTCCACTGCGGCGGGTACTTCTCACGAGAGGCAGTAACCATCATCGGACCCGAGGAAGATCAATAGCTGTCGATGCTCATGAGCATTAGAGATCTCCGCAGTCTCCAGTTATTGCTCACCGATTGCCCGTGCCATTATCATTGTTTAGCGCATGTATCGCCGCGAAAATTGATGGATCGTCGATACGAAATTGTTTCTGCGATTTATCCGTTCATCAATTACCCAAAAAAAAAAAATTACTTCTCACCAGTACAAACCGGTACTTGGGGGAAGTTCACTTTTGAAAAGTTCTAAAAATACTCGTCCCAAGTACATTTTGTGTCCTTGGGTGAAGTACCACATCTCCCGATCGAGTAGAAATGGTACTTGGAGGAAGTAGTATCACTACTTACTGCCAGTATTTTTAGTACTTTTCACAAGTACCAAAGGTACTAGTGAAAAGTCATTTTTCAACTTCTCTCAAGTACTTTTGGGACTTAATTTCAGTACTTCCAATTGATTACTTTATTGAAAAAATTGAATATTATTACCGGATATAATGGGCTTTCTTACGCATTTTTGTAAATAGAAATGTTCAGCAGAAGATATTTTGTAGGAAAAAATCAATAGATTGCGATTTTTATGGATGCTTTCGAGAATTATTGGTATGCTTTCCAACCTACAAAATTTCAATTCGTTGAGATTTTTTGTTTTATGTTGTTATCAACATTTAAAAAGCTTCGAAAAATTATTTTCAATTTCTTTTCAATTTTATTACTCACAAAACGGGAATTATTTGGATTTTTGGAATTTCTAACGGAATTCGGTTTTTAGAAGAGGTAGAAAAACATTTTTGAGTTCTTATACTCAACTTATATTGAGTTTATTTGGTACTTTTGAAAAGAACCAGCCAGGTACTCAGTACAAGTAATTTTTTTACTTGTCCCAAGTAACAAAATACTTGTAATAAGTACTGAGGTACTTCTCACCAGTACACAGGTACTTGACGCATGATACTTGCATAAAGTTGTTTTGTAACTTCGAGGAAGTACAAAAATGTACCTTTTCCCCAGAAACCTCTTGATACTGGGTACAAGTACTTTTTCTACTGATGAAAAGTAATTTTTTTTTGTGTATTCGTATTTGCTGATCCCCGCGAACATTAATCACGCCCATAACTCGTGAATTAAATGATTCAATTGATTAATGAATCGGGAGAGTTGAATTAATCGTTTTTTGAATTTAGCCAGCGCCGGGAGGCCCTTGAAATTTATAAAAATGTCTTCAGGATCGATTAAGGTGATGGAGTATATCGTGATCTCTGGGATATCACCCCAAGAACTTACTGATGATTATTTTTATCGTCTTTTGCAGATGGTTCTGCCATTTTGATGACGACAATTACGTGAATGTACCGCGTCTGCTTAAGCTGTTGGACAATTACAATCCCCGGGAGGACTGGTATCTCGGCAGGCCGTCGATACCAGCACCCTTGGAGATCATGAGGCAACAAGGTGCTGAGTCGGCGAAACGACCTGTGAGTTAAACTTATTTCTACCGTAAACACGCTGCATGCCGAGTTCACTAATTTCAATGTTTTATCGCGGATTCATGGTGTTGTTGTTTAGGTCATTTGTTTGTGCACTGAGGGAAGACAAAGTTTTCTTGAGTATTGGTCACTTGTCCCACGAAATTTGTTTATTGACAATGAGCCGGTACACTGTTAAAAATTTTCGTCAAAATTTTCCGTGCCAAATTTCGGAAATTTTTGTCGCGTTCAAGTTCCACTGAAATTTCAGGAAATGTTGTCATTGAAAAACCAAATATTTCATTAATTTTCTGTTCAGATGACCTGGAAATCAATAAAATACTTGATTTTTCGGTTCAATTATTCCGTGAAAATTCAGAAAAATCAAGAAAGTTCAGGAAAAAATGAAAATTTATGTCATTTTGTTTGTGAATATTCATGTTTCACTGAAAATTCAATCAAGTTGTGAAATTTTCATTTCACTCCCACTGAAAACTCATGAATTTCCGGGAATTCTTGTCAAAACTTGAAATTCCATAACTATTTTTTCCCTAAATCCGATTCAATGTCGCTTTCATGAGATTTACTGTAATATCTCCACATGAAATTCCAACAATATTAAAGGAATTGGCGACTTCCATTGATAAAGCTTTAAGTATTCTTATCAAAGTATAAAAATAATATGATATTAATCATTTGAATTTGCGATTGATGATTAATTAAATATTCGATAATATGCGACTGAGAATTTTCCATTAAGTGAATAGTTCTAATTTCTTAAAAGGGATTACCAATTGACCAAATACTCGGTAATTTTCCTACCTAAATTATTGATCAATGAAATAGTTCAGAATTTGGCTAATTAGATATTACCTAATTGGATACTATATAAGTTAACGATACTTATAATTTATGGATTTTGCTATCTCAATTTCGTCTGAATTTTTCGTGCCAAATTCCGAAAATTTTTATCGTGGTCAAGTTCCACTGAAACTTCAGGAAATTTCAGTTCCTTTTTCCCGGAAAATAAATAGAAAACCAGAAAATTTCGGTAAATATACTCAAAAAAAATCACGAAATTTCCGATTTCACTGAAAATTCAACATAATTTGGCACTGAATATTCACATCAGATTGCAAATTAAAATAAATTAAGCAATTATCGTCTTTCTGCCGCTTAAAATCCTGGAATTTTACTGAATTGTCAGTGAAATCAGAAATTTCCTGATTGTTTTCCGTAACTCGCATTCACTGTCACTGTCCTGAAAATTAGCAGTCACAACTGTCCACGAAATTTGATTTTTTTCCAACAGCGAAGTGATGGTTTGGATTACCTTAAAACAGATGCAATTATCTGCACACCCTTTTCTCGAGACAAGTGAATAATGTTCTGTTAAAAAAAAACATTACCCACAATAATGAATAAATGCAGAGGTACAAGACATTTGGGACCTTGAGAAGGGGAGACAGGCCCACGTGTGTGTGCGCGTCTTGATAATCATAAATTGGAGGACGCATGAAACATGGTCAAGCGAGAGAGCCCTGTGCGTGAGATATCATCGCGATTTAATCGTTCGATATGTGCGTATGGCGTTCACCATAGTCGGTCCTCTGGGGCTTTGAGAGAACCAATGATCTTATCGCTGTGTCGAGTGTCTGTCATGCTGCCGCACCACTCTGAATTCCGTATTCTCTTTTGCCCGAGTAAAATTGAATTAAAAATGGGATAAACCCTTTGGTAGAATAAGACTGCGAAAAAATTTGATCGATCATTTATTCATTCATTTGCAGTCGATGATCAGGTGATGGTGGATGTTGATTTAATCTTGAATTTTATTCATTTTAAATGTTCTCAGTTTAAGAGTGCAAATGTTTTTGCATGAATAATTATGTAGATCAGAGCCATTTTTTTTTAATTTTTCACATAATCATGATTTACAAATTGAGTCATTTCTTATTGACGTAAAAATGGGCTAAACTCTTTGATAAAATAAGACTATAAAATTAAGGATCAATATAAGGGCCACGAGGGTCAGGAGCGTCAGATTACGGCCATGAGGGTCAGAATAAGGGTCAGAGGAGTCAGATCGAGTTATATGGGTCAGATTAAGGACCGCAAGGGTCAGATTAAGGTTCTAAATAAGGGTAACAAGGGTCAGACTAAGGTCCTAAATAAGGGTAGCAAGGGTCACAGTAAGGGCCCAAATAAAAATTATGGGAGTCAGAAACTAAGGGCCACAAGGAGGGCCAGTTTAAGGGTCATGAAGGTCAGAATAAGGGTCACGAGGATCAGATTAAGGGCCATGAGTGTCAAAATAATGTTCAAATAAGGGTCACAAGAGTCAGATTAAGGCTCATAAGGGTCGGATTAAGGCTCATAAGGGTCAGATTAAGGCTCGTAAGGGTCAGATTAAGGGTTCAAATAATGGTAACAAGGTAACAAGGGTAAGGTAACAGGAAGGGTCCAAATAAGGGTTATGGGAGTCACAAACTAAGGGTCGCAAGGGTCAGAATAAGGACCATGCGGGTCAGAATAGGGATCACGAGGGTCATGAGGGCCAGTTTAAGGGCGATAAAGATCAGATTAAGGGTCACGAGGATCAGATTAAGGGTCATGAGGATCAAAATAAGGGTCACAAGACTCAGATCAAGGGCCATATGGATTAGATTAAGGGTCACAAGTGTTCAAATAAGGGTAACAAGGTTCACAGTAAAGGGTCCAAATAAGGGTTATGGGAGTCATCATGGAGTTCATATGGGGATCATATGGAGCTTATATGGGGGTTGGCGAGCGGAGCGAGCAGGGGGCGTAGCCCCCTAGTATTAAATAAACAACAATGTCCATCAAAGCCATGATTTTCTCAAAATTTTTCAGCTAAAAAATTTACGCCATTAATGTTCACATAATCACGATTTACAAATTGAATCATTTCTCCCTCTTTACCATCCACCAGACTTATCCATCATATTTCTCGAAATCGCTTCAATCCCCCCCCCCCCCCCC